TGGAATCCTACCTTGTATATTCTTCTGGATTGCTTGGTCATTAGTAAGTTTTTGAGGTTCATCACTTTGATGCATCTAGTTATGGCTCATGCTTTTCTAGATTTTGTTAGCATGAGCCTTGGTCCAAGTCAACTAATGGAATGCTGTTAACATTTTTATTTTTACCTGTGGTATAAATAAGGGATGCATTTTTTTTTTCTTTTTTGTAAATTGATGGCAAAGGACCATTTTGCCAGGACCATTTATTAAATAATCCATCCTTTTCCTATAGCTTCACCTATAATCATTGCATTATATGCAGTCTTATATATTCTGAATCTATTTTGGATTTTTTTATTCTGTACCACTAATCTATGTGTGTATTGCTTTACAAATATTATTTCTTTTTCTTGGTTTTATGTGTTTTGATTTCCAGTAAGGCATGTCTCCTCCCACACTGTGTTCTTCATCCTCATACTTTCCTTGCCTTTGCTTGAGTATTCTTCCATGTAAACTTTAAGAAATTTTCTCCTTTTAAGAAAATAATCTTATGGTGTTTTAATCAAAAATTATATCTTATTTGAATATTATATATCTTCTTTTGGAGAACTGAGATATTTTTTTTGATACTGAGTTTCTCTTCCATGAAATAGAAGCTTTTTAGTTTTTTCTCTTTTTAAGCAGGAGGATTGGTCAAAAGAAGCTAGATTTCTACCTTCTTTTTGTTTTTTCAGGTACTGTAATATGTCTTTAAATAAGATTTCAACCATATATTTATGTGAATCCTAACTTTTATAGTTAAATTTATTTTAACTATTGAAGCGGAATCTTTTTCTTATTTATATTTTCAAATGATATTTTCTGAATTAAAGAGAATCTACTTTTTAAAGTATATTTTGTATTTTATTAGTATATCAAATTAGTATTCATTTTGAATTTTGATATCTTGGTTATAAAATAGTATCACAATAAAATAAATATATATCTGACATTTCATTTTCTTATAGCATGTGTTAAAATTTCCAAGAAATGTGTAATTATATTGATTGTGAATACCACTCTATTTATTGATTCAAATAGAAAATGATTTAGTTTTTAACATACAATATATTTACTGTTGGTTTTTATTTATATTTAACTAGCTTCCTTCTAAAACTCTATTTTACTTAGAGTTTTTATTATGAAGGGCTGCCAAATAGCATTAAATACTTTTTCAGTATTAATAAAATCATGCCATATTCCCTTTCATTTGTTGATGATTTATGTTGATTTTCTGAATTGTTATCATTCTTTACATTTCTGTAGTAAATTTTACTTGGTTAGGTTAGATAAAACTCAGCTGTGATCACAATGATCCAATCTTTAGTGACTTGTTAGACATAAAAGAGAGTGTTTACAACATATACATCCTTTAAAGATAATATTAATAAATGATTGTTACCTCCAGGCCAAAAGATAGAAAGTTGTTTATGTCACAGAAGGTTCTTAGGTGATCTTTCTCCAAAACATAACCAGTGTTATGAATTTGTGATTATTTGTTTTTTAATATTTGATTTTTGCACTCATGTTTGCATTTCTAATAATACATTTACTTTTGTGTTGTTACCTTATAAAATGGAATTGTACTTATGTCTGGCTGTTTGGCTAAGTAAGGTGGGTTCATCCACTTTGCTGTAGAGTGTTTATTAAGGTTTGATCTAGCAATATTTCTGTATTGAGGTTGGGGTGATGCCAGTATTATTCTTGTTTGAAATGGCATGTTGTTTTCTGAGTTTGGGTTTTCAAAATAATGGAAATAAAACATTTTTGTATTTATGTTTTTAGTACATGTAGTAAGAGTTGTAGGGGTTGTCTCTAAATAGATGGTATTCATAGATTGGCATCTAAAATTTATTATTAGTTTGATGAGGATGAAGATGTAAATTTTAAAATTCAATGGCAGATATATTGAAAAATGTGCCATTTTCACATTCTTAGCGCGAGTTCATTTTTTTAATTTGGTTTGTTGTTTATAATGTTAGTAATTTGAAAGTGTGAAAATGAATGTCAGTGAGTGTGTAAACTTTTTACCTTGATATATGAATAGTTGTTAAAAATGTATTGGGTTGGAAGTATTAGAATAAAATGATTCTTCTTAGGCTTTATATTATTCCTTTTGGGGGATGAATCGTGGGGGTTGCTGAGTTGTTATGTATTATGCAGTTAATGTGTCTATGCATATGGTGGTGAGTCTGAGTTACAAGTTAATAGGGAGTGTTCGAGATTTGATGGATGAGGTGGTAGTGAAGCTTTTTTGCTTTTGATGATATGATGAGTGATGTGCATTATTAGCAAACATTGCAGCATTGTATTGTCTGTAACAAAGACAGGTTTTTCATAAAAAGAAGGAGTAAATGTGAATGGTCAAGCGAGTCATGTGGGGTGTTAGGTTACTCCAGGTA